GATTGGTGTTGGACGTATGGATTAATGGGTTAATGTTAGACTTGTGGATTTGGGCAGCACTGGGTTGGGATGTTTTTTTGATGCACACTTAATCTTTATATAAACTCTCTCTTATACAGACTCACACAGTTCTTGATATCAAGTTCTCTTTTACAGATATATCCATCAGAAAACATTACGATTCATAACAGTTGCAAAATTACAGTTGAGTTAGTTTATTGTGCCAACCTGGCCGATAAACACATGTGGGGTTAATTGAAGGGCGGAGGGATAAATGGCTCAGTGAGCCTCGCCTTCCTAGTTCTCGGTTCTCTTGCTTTCTCATGATCGGACCAGGGTGCAGCTGCTTTAGCCAGTTAGCTGGCAAGGCTGACTTCCTGCAAGGCATCTCTGAAGAGAAGCCACATGGACCTACCCCGATGCAGCCCTGGGTGCTGGAGCACCTATGTGGAGACAGCCCCCTGCCAGTGCTGAGATGCTTACACATTCACTGATTCGGCTTTCCTCCTGCAGTCGGCGTCATAGTATGTTTTGTGAGATGGAGGAGGACTTTGTGGATTGGTGTTGGACATATGGGTTAATTGGTTAATGGATTTGTGGGCTTGAGCACCACTGGGTTGGGATGTTTTCTTGATGCGCACTTAACCTTTATATAAAACTGTTTTATACATGAATTTCTGTGGATTTGTTTCTCTAAAATACCCGGACTAACATATTATGGTACCTTGGGAGTGGGGTACTGGAGAAACAAATCGTAAGATGGAGGTTAGATTTTTGTTTGACCTCACCCTCATGGCAGTTTTTCTTTGTTTCGCAAGAGGTCAAAGTCACACTTTACTCGGTTGTTTTCTGGGAAAAACATGGGAGGTAGGAAAATAGAAAGTTTGTAATCCCACATGCTTTGAGCCATTAAAATTTAGATGGGTTTAGGCCATGCCTGCAAACAAAGCTTTGAAAAGATATGCCCCACCCAGTGCTTTGGAGTACCAAGAAACCAGTAGTCTTTGTCAGAAGCTAGAAAAAATCTGGAACTATGAAGAAAACTCCCCTCTAGGATTGAATGTTAAAGGGAGCCTGAGAGCTGGCTTAAATGCATGCTAGGTGACCACCTGGATCTACTTGTTGAGTGGAAGTGGGAGGAATGCAGCAATAAAGAGACGGGTTGAGTTTGGCCACTGACACCTGTGGACTTGGTTTACAGGGGGGAAAAAAGGAGAAGATGCGAGCGGGTTGACTGGTTTAAAGTTCCTGACCTAGCGCGAGGGAGCTAGGCTTGTTGAGTATTGTGGAGAGCCCATGGTCTAAAGACAAGGCGACCAATGGGCACCCTGTGGAGGCTGAGTGAGGCAGCCCACATTGAGTTGACCAGAACCCGACCAGATGAAGATTTTTGAGCCTGTGAACTGGTGCATATTGTTGCCGACTTTATGGATGGCCTGTCCGGATTTGACTTGCTTACGGATGCAGACTTCACAAGGTTCCAACTGGAATGAAGACTCTTCATGTCCAAAAATATGATTGTCTTCTCAGAGAACTGGGTTGATGTAAGTGGGCAGTATATAAGTTGGATATTCAAAATTGGGGGGATAAAGGTGTAGGTGTTACTTAATTGCATTTGTGAAGCTAAAGAATTATGTACAGGTGCCAGGTTGGCAAGGGGCGGATTGAGGCCGATAAACACATGTGGAGTTAATTGAAGGGCGGAGGGATAAATGGCTAGTTCTCGGTTCTCTTGTTTTCTGATGGTCGGACCAGGGTGCAGCTCCCTTAGCCAGATTCCTGCTTTAGCTGGCAAGGCATCTCTAAGGAGAAGCCACATGGACCTACCCCGATGCAGCCCTGGGTGCTGGAGCAGCTGTGTAGAGACCCCTGCCAGCGCTGAGATGCTTACACGCTCACTGACTCAGCTTTCCTCCTGCAGTCCATCATTGCGTGTGTTTTGTGAGATGGAGGAAGGCTTTGTGGATTGGTGTTGGACGTATGGATTAATGGGTTAATGTTGGATTTGTGGGCTTGGGCAGCACTGAGTCGGGATGTTTTCTTGATGCGCACTTAACCTTTATATAAAACTCTGTCTTGTACATGAGTTTCTGTGGACTTGTTTCTCTTAAGTACCCAGACTAACACATAGGTTATTAGTTTGTTCCTTCTAGTAGCTGTGTTCCACACATTCACTACTGAAGGACTTTTGGATTGTTTGCAGTTTGTAATTAGTATGAATGAAAATGCTATCAACTTTTGTTTGCACGTATTTTTCATTTCCAAATTGTTTTATTTTGGGGTGGGGGAAGGGGGCGTAGTTAATGACCTGATTAATTTCATCTTTTATGATGGTTCTGTTCAGATTTTCTACTTCATTCTGTTAGTTTAGGCTGGCAGTGCCAGTACATTTCCAGAAATTTCTCCATTTCTTATTTGTTGAAGTAGTCCATTATTATCTTTTTTATTTCTGTTGTTTCTGTTGTAACGTGTCTCACTGAAATTCTTATCTGTGTTAGTTGCATCATCTCCTTATTTTCCTGTTAGATTTGCCGGTGGTTTGTCTATTTTGTAAATCCTTTCAAATAACCATTTTTGTTTTGATTCTTTCTATTGTTTTTCTGTTTCATTTATTTCTGCTCTGCTTTTTATTTTTTCCTTTCTTTTGGTGATTGTAGACTTATTTTGCTGTCTTGTCTTTTTAGAGATATTGGGTTAAGTGGTTGGCAATGGTTATTTGGGGGGACGTTTATTGCTATAAATTGCCTTCTGAGCACCGTGTTTGCTTTTTACCAATGGTTCAGGTATGTTGTGTTTTTGTTTTCATTTTCATTTCACTCAAGGAATTTTTACTTCATATTTTAATTTCTCCTATGACCCAGAACTTTTTAAGCAGGTCTTAGTACATTGCTATGTGTTTTATTTCTTACTTTGATCTTCCTATTAATTTCTACTTCTATATTGCTGTGGTCTTAGGAAATACTTAATAGTGTTTCAATGTTTTAAATTGTATTGAGGTTTACTCTGTGGCCTAACTTCTAGTCTATTCTGAAGAAAATTCCATGTGAACTACAATAGAATATGTACTGCATTGTTGTTGGGTGTTCTTTGTATGTCTGAGGTCAAGTTGGTTAATTGTGCTGTTTCGTTTTTCTGTCTGTTGAATTTAGTTTCTTTCTAGTTCTATTCTTTATCAGAAGTAGTTTATTAAAGCCTCCTACTATTATAGAGTCATCTGTTTCTTCTATTCTGTTTATGTAATTCTTACAGTTTATGTAATTGCATTGGGTTGTGAATAAATATTTACTATGACTATGTCATCTTATTCAGTTGACCCTGTGATCATTATATAATGTCTTCCTTGCCATTTTTGCTGGTGTTTGCCTTAAAGTCTATTTTATTAGAAATTAATATTGCTACTCTTGCTCTTTTTCTTGGTGAAAAAGAAAAGAGGAAAAGGAATGCAAATAGTGAAGAGAAAATTGAGGAAAAAGAAGAAAGGCTAAAAACCAAGGGAAGATGAAAAGAAAAGACCAGACAAATAAAAGAGAACACTCGGGCAGGGCCTAGAAGAAGAAAACTGGGTGAGGCAGGACACCCTGAATGGGTTTGCACTCTCTGCAAGCCAAGGAATTCGTGAGTAAGAGGATGGGATACCCACTTCTAGATGGAATTCCTGCCAACCTAGATGTTGTCTGGGGTCAGGACCCCTGATCAGTAAGTAATTTGTGCAGGCGCAAAGGGTGCCTAAGATCAGGGTGCTTGTTCCTGGAAGGGATGTTTTTCAGGCCCAGAGGGTAGGGACTGTGCAGGACACGTGTTACTGGCCACTGGGTGGATGAGGGGAGAGGCTGGTCATGCTGCTCATCACCAGGAGGGTGCAAGGAGCAAAGGAGGATCCCACCTTTCTCATATTGCCAGCCACCAGAGTGTGTTTGTGCTATGAGGTTGCTGCCCCAGTTGAGTGCTGCTTGCAAAAGTCCAAGATGGCAGTGCCCTATCAGGCCAGTGAACAATTTACCCGTCTCTTTCCTCTCTCACCACTTTTGTTCAGCTTCTTCTCCAACTCCGTATTCAGGTTTTTTGTTTTTTTTAACCCTGTTTTCTGAAGCTCAGGATTCCAGGACCATCATTCACATCTGTTTTAATTAGTCTCTGATGTTTTTGATAGAGAGGGTCTGTGTAGCCTGTCTGCCTGTCAGAAGTCGGTTTGTTTTGTTTATTTGCTTATTTCTGGTTTTCCATGCAGATAATGCTCCCAAGTCTCTTGGAGGAATACCTAGAAATGGGATTGTTGGGTTATATGAGTAATATGTTTAATTTTTTCAAGAACTGCCAGTTTTCCCAAGTGGTTGTACAAATTTATCATCCCATTAACAATGTACTCAGATGAGAATTCCCATTACTCCACGCCTTCAGCAACATGCAATATTGTCCATTCTTTTCTTTCAATCTTACCCACTTCATTAGATAGATAATTTGCATTATGATGATTAATATCAAGC